AGTCAAATGAGGAGAGTTAAGGGATTTGGAGAGGGACAGAGTGGAGATGGGAGGGGAGAATGTCGGAGCAAGACTGAGTTGGGTTGGGTGAGAAGTTTGGGATTGGGTGAGAGTGGGGATGTTTGCTGATGATTGCACAAGTTCAGCACCATTCGTGACTCCTCAGATACTGAAGCAGTCCACGTCCAAATGCAACAAGATTGGGTCAATATCCAGGCTTAAGCTGACAAGTAGCATTCATGCCACACAAGTGCCAGGTAATGACTATCACCAATAAGAGACAATCTAATCACCTCTTGCCATTCAACACGTGATAGACTGTTATGATGAGCTGATATAGTTTACAGCACCATTGATTAGTTCATTTCTTTCTTAAACTTTCAGCGTAAAGTTCTTAATTCGTTCTTGGACTTTCGAGAGAAGGAGAAGAAGAGGTGAGATTATATCTTATCCTGCATCTTGTTCCTCAGTAATTGATCATCTTGCGGTGGGCCCCATTTTCTTGGCTGGTTCCTGTTCTGACCACTCAGTGCAGATCTCTCATGCTGAGGGAGTACTGCACTGTTGTAGGTGCCATCCTTCTGGAAGAGTTGTTAACCTGAGGCCGTGTTTACCTGTCCAGGGGGATTGCTGGGAATGGCTGGAGGATCTGGTCAATCATCAGCTGCCAGTCAACACCATCGAAATATCTTAATCTGTCATCTCTCTTATTGTCTCTGTGGGATCTTGCTATGTGCACGTTGTTACCCATAACAACACCTGGGTTGTCATCTCCCTAGGTATCAATGTAAAACATTTACGTCTTACTTCATCTAACTTCAGCTTTAACTGTCTTCACCTGACTTCCCTTTAACTTAAATCATATTTAACTCTAATTTAACTCTATAAGTTTGGCTTGAAACAAACACTGCCCCGATTCTAGCAGACCACCATGACACTTCCCTTATTTGGTCAACACAGGAAACTGCAGGTCACAACATGCCCTGGTTGCAGCTTTAACCGAGGTCAGTGTTTAAACTCGCTTGACCAAAGCTCCCAGCATGCTTTGATTGTAGCTCTTAACCAGTCTGGTAGCCATTTCTGGTGCTGGCCGCCTGACCACAAAGTTTAGGCTTCTGGATTTGTCTCCAAAATGGCAAGGAATTATTTGGCTGAGCAGTGCCTCTGATAGATACTAAATTACATGATGATATTTCTTCAAGGGTTGTAAATAAAGACCATTCCTCCCTCTGCTTGGATCCTCGATTGTTGCCTCAGATTCATTCTGTTGCTGAGTCGTTCATCCTAGGAGCTTGGCAAGGGGTCTGCTCAAACTCTCCACTCTCGCGGTGGGGAACAAGATGTGAACTGTGGAGAAAGAGTTTCAAACGGCAAAGATGTAAAGTTTAAACCCCGTTGAAAGGCAGCAGAAGCTCTACAATGTAAATGAAGTTAGGAATCACTTTGCTTCAGTTAATTATGGTGATCCATTGATGTGGGGAAACATACCACATTTGTTATTTCTGTACCACAACGCCGGTTCGGTTTGAATCTGATTGGAACTTGCCCTGTCTAAACCAAAGCACTTATACGCTATTTGATTTGATTTGATTATTATTATTGTCAAATGTACTGCAATACAGTGAAAAGTATTGTTTTGTGTTCCATCCAGACAAATCATACCTTATATAAGTACATCAGGGTAATGGAACAGAATGCAGAATTTAGTGTTATAGCTACAGGGAAGGTGCAGAGAACTCTATTATATGAGTCTGATAACAGCAGGGAAGAAGCTGTTCTTGAATCTGTTGGTACATGTTTTCAAACTTCTGTGTCCTCTACCTGACGGAAGAGGGTGTAAGGAGTGGGAGGGGTTTTTGATTCTGTTGGCTGCTTTCCCGAGGGAGTGTGAAGTGTAGATAGAGTCAATGGATGGAAGGCTGGTTTGTGGCTGGGCTGTGCTGACGGCTCGCTGTAATTTTTTGCGGCCTTAGGCAGAGCAGTTACCATACTAATCTGTGATACATCCGGATAGGAGGCTTCCTATGGTACATCTATAAAAATTGCTAAGCGTCATTGTGGACATGCCGAATTTCCTTAGCTTTATGAGGAAGTAGAAGGGTTGGTGTGGATGGACTAGAACAATTGTTAAGCATCATTGTGGAGTTTCTAATCTGCTTTTTACCTCCTCGGCTGTTTATTCAGGGTGAATGAGGAGTTGAATACTTCTATTTCGCTCATGAGGGACAGGCCTGACCTGAATTTACCCACAGTGCACCCAGTGACATTTTATAGGCCTGCATTGAACTTGCTGTGTCACAGTACAGAGCCCCATCTAAATGTCAATGCTTCTTTAACATTCCTAGTGTCTGTTCGGGGTCTGTGGTTAGAGTCCACTTGGGGCTGAGAATTGGTAAAGGTGATGGTTAATCTGAATAAAGCTGAGGGGAATCAGAGAGACACAGAGTTGGGGGTGAATTGCACATTTGGTTTTACAGCTTGACCAAGGGGCTGGTAGTTAATAGACAGCCCTCTGCTCTGGGTAAGGTCACTTTGGGGACTTACTGTTGTGTGAATGACATGGCAGAGGGCCGTGGCGGTAATGGATTTGATAACTAAAGGAAGGTTCAGTGTGCTGTGAACAACCAGAAAGTAAATGAGTTATATTTAGACTGACTGGACCAATCTCTTTTGATGGACAAAAGATTTTAATGTGGCTGAGTGTAACATCATGAGTAGAAAAACATTAGGAATAGGAAGGACAAGCAGATAGACTCAGCCCTGGCTTACTGACATAGAGCAGCCATCTTGCTCAAAAAGAAATCCATTAAACGGTTTGAGGATTAACACTTTCAGGCCCAGCACCAAGACTCAGTCCCAACTTTAACCATGCTCCTGATTCTTGTTTTAGGTTGGATCTGAGTCAATGCCTGACCCTGGGAGATGTTACCACCATCAACCTGACCTTATTACAAGGAGGTGTCGCCTTTAATGTTGTCCCCGAAGAGATGATGGCGAGCTTCGATATCCGTATTCCCCCAACCGTGGATCTGGAGGTATCGTCTCAGCAAGTCTTAGTCTATTTCATTGCTGCCATCAGTAAGTGGAGACAGGGCGAGGGGCCTGGTCCACGGGGAGTGGGAGAAGGGCCTGGTCCACGGGGAGTGGGAGAAGAGCCTGGTCCACGGGTAGTGGGAGAGGGGCCTGGTACAGGGGGAATGGGGTAGGGGCCTGTTACACGGGGAACGAGAGAGGGGCCTGTTACATGGGGAGAGGGAGATGGTCCTGGTCCACGGGGAGAGGGAACGGGAGAGGGGCCTGATCCACAGGGAGAGGGCTGTTCTTGGGAAAGTGAGGTGTGCGTTTTATATTGAAAGAGGGATCCGTGTGCCATCCTTCCATGTCCTGCTTCCTTGTCCTCTGTAGAAGTCAGAGATTCACAAATCTGTCTGTAAACATGAGATCAGCTTCTAACCCCACGTATCTGTACCAAGACCAAACTTTCCTGACCTTTGTTACTGTCCTGCCTCAGTTTATCCACTGCTGGCTGTTCCAACACACTGCTGGCCTGTAACCTCTGTTGGCTATATCAGCAGAACACTGTTCTTTCAGTATTTAACCTCCTCGCCCATGTGCCCACGGATCTCCACTGATTCCCAGTCAAGCAACATCTCAGTTCCAGAGATCCTACCCTTGCCTCCCCCTTTTCCTGGGAAGCTGATGGTCCAGCGGTTTTATCAGTCCACTATTAATCCAGCTAATGTTCTGGTGTACGCAGGTTCAAATCCTGCCAAGGAAGATGGTAGAATTTAAATTTAATTGAAAAAATTAGAATTGCGAATCTACTGATGACCATGAATCCATTGTTGATTGTTGGAAAAACCCATCTGGTTCACTAATGTCCTTCAGGAAAGGAAATCTGCCATCCTCACCTGGTCTGGCTGACATGTGACTCCAGACCCACAGCAATGTGGTTCACTCTCAATTGCCCTCTGAAATGGCCTAACAAGCCACTCAGTTGTACCAATCGCTACAAAGCCTCAAAGAAGTCAAACTGGGTGGGTCACCTGGCGTCACCCAGGCACTGGAACAGACAACGGCAGAAACAGCCCTGTCGACCCTGCAAAGTCCTCCTCACTAACATCTGGGGGTTAGTGCCAACACTGTCTCACAGATGAGTCAGCTCTCCCAGTCAACAGTTTGGCATACTCACAGAATCATACCTTACAGACAATGTCCCAGACGCCACCGTCACCATCCCTGGATATGTCCTGTCCCACCGGCAGGACAGACCCAGCAGAGGTGGCAGCACAGTGGGATTCAGTTGAGAGGGAGTTGTTCTGGGAGTCCTCAACATTGACTCTGGACCCCATGAAGTCTCATGGCTTCAGGTTAAACATGGGCAAGGAAACCTCCTGCTGATTACCACATAACCGTCCTTCCTCAGCTGATGAATCAGTACTCCTCAATGTTCTGAGGATGGCAAGGGCACAAAATGTACTCTGAGTGGGGGATTTCAATGTCCACCACCAAGAGTGGCTCAGCAGCAGTACTACTGATAGAGCTGGTTGGGTCCTAAAGGATATAGCTGCTAGACTGGGTCTGTGGCAGGTGGTGAGGGAACCAACAAGAGGGAAAAACATACTTGATCTGATCCTCACCAATCTGCCAGCTGCAGTTACATCTGCCCATGACAGTATCGGTAAGAGTGACCATCGCACAGTCCTTGTGGAGATGAAGGCCCATCTTCACATTGAGAACAACCTCCATTGTGTTGTGTGGCACTATCACTGTGCTGAATGGGACAGACTTCACACAGATCTAGCAACTCAAGACTGGGCATCCATGAGGCACTGTGGGCCATCAACAGCAGAATTGTACTCCAGTACAATCTGTAACCTCATGGCCTGGCGTATCCCCCACTCAATCATTACCATCAAGCCAGGGGATCAATGCCTGGTTCAATGGAGAGTGCAGGAGGGCATGCCAGGAGCAGCACCAAACATACCTGAAGATGAGGTATCAACCTGGTGAAGCCACCAAACAGGACTACTTGCATGCCAAACAGCGAAAGCAGCAAGTGATAGACAGAGCTAAGCGATCCCACAACCAATGGATCAGGTCTAAGCTCTGCAGTCCTGCCACATCCAGTTATGAATGGTGGTGGACAATTAAACATCTCACTGGAGGAGGAGGTTCCACAAATATCCCCATCCTCAATGATGGAAGAGCCCAACACATCAGTGCAAAGGATAAGGCTGAAGCATTCGAAGCAATCTTCGGCCAGAAGTGTCGAGTGGATGATCCATCTCGGCCTCCTCCAGTGGTCCCCAGCATTACAGATACCAGTCTTCAGCCAATTCGATTCACTCCACGTGATATCAAGAAACGGTTGGAGACACTGGATGCTGCAAAGGCTACGGGCCCTGACAACATTCCAGCAAGAATACTGAAGACTTGTGCTTCAGAACTTGCTGCTCCCTTAGCCAAGCTCTACCGCCCCATCAGTCTCCTCTCAATCATCAGTAAAGTGATGGAAGGTGTCACTAAAAGCGCTATCAAGCAGAACCTGCTTAGTGATGCCCGGTTTGGGTTCTGCCAGAGCCACTCAGCTCCTGACCTCATTACAGCCTTGGTTCAAACATGGGCAAAAGAGCTGAATTCCAGAGGTGAGGTGAGAGTGACAGCCCTTGATATCAAGGCCACATGTGACCAAAAGTGGCATCAAGGAGCCCTAGCCAAACTGGAATTAATGGGAATTGAGAGAAAATTCTCGCGTAGGAACATGGTTTTGGTTGTTGGAGGTCAGTCGTCTCAGCTCCAGGACATCTCTGCAGGAGTTCCTCAGGCTAGTGTCCTCGGCTTCTTCAGCTCCTGCATCAATGACCTTTGCTCAAATATAGTGAGCATATTCGCTAATGATTGCACAGTGTTCAGCACCATTTACGACTCCTCAGATACTGAAGTAGTCCACGTCCAAATGCAACAAGGCCTGGACAAAATCATTTTAGGCTGACAAGTGGCAAGTTTATTCACACCACGCAAATGCCAGGTTATGACCATCACCAATAAGAGATAATCTAACCACAGTTACCAATAGTGTTACCATCACTGAATCCCCCACTTGTGGCTTGGGGATACCATCGACCAGAAAATCAACTGGACTCACTATATAAAATACAGCGGCTACAAGAGCAGGTCAGAGGCTGGGAAATCTACAGTAAGTAATTCGCCTCCTGACTCCCCAAAGCCTGTCCATCATCTACAAGCCACAAGTCAGGAGTGTGATGGAATACTTCCCATTTGCCTGGATGGGGGCAGCCCCAACAATGCTCAAGAAACTTGACACCATCCAGCACAAAGCAGCCCGCTTGATTGGCACCACATCCGCAAGTATCCACTCCCTCCACCACCAACACTCAGTAGCAGCAGTGTGTACTATCTACAAGATGCACTGCAGAAATTCACCAAAAATCCATAGACAGCACCTTCCAAACCCATGACCACTTCCATTTGGAAGGACAAGGGCAGCAGATACATGGGGACTATACCCTCTGCAAGTTCCCCTCCAAGCCACTCACCATCTGGACTCGGAAATATATTACCTTTCCTTCAGTATCGCTGAGTCAAAATCTTGGAATTCTCTCCCTCATGGCATTGTGGTTCTACCCACAGTACATGGAGTGCAGCTGTTTCAAGGAGGCAGCTCACCCCCACCTTCTCAAGGGCATCTAGGGACAAGTAATAAATGCTGCTAGCCAGTGATGCCCACATCCCACAAGTGAATAAATGAAACAATCTCCAACAGCCCAATATTCCGCTTCATTCCTGCTCATAGCCCGAATTCTGGCCTCTAGTGTTTCCCAGTTGTGATCATGCTGCCACTGGGGTGCGTGTCTTTGATTGCCTCAGTCCCAAATTCTGGAATCGTCGATTGTCGGAAAAACCCATCTGGTTCATGAATGTCCTTTTGAGGAGGGAAACTGCCACCCTCAACTGGTCTGGCCTACATGTGACTCCAGACCCCACAGCAATGTGGTTGACTCTGAACTGCCCTCTGGGCAATTGGGGATGAGTAATAAATGCTGCCTGGTCAGCGACACCCTCATCCCGTGAATGAGTAAAGAAAAAAAAGAATTCCTTCCCGTAACCTCTTGCCACTCTGCCTCAAGTTCATCCTTCACCTTGCTCCGGAAAACCGAACATGGATTTGGTCCTCTGGCTCTGTGTTACACCTTGTTTCAAACTGCTGCTATGAAGAGGCTTGGGCTGATTCATTCTGTTAAATGTTTGACATCAATGGGTGTTACTACTGTTGCCTGTGTCAATGAAGGGACATGTGTCTTGTATGGCAGTACTGAGAGGCTGTAGTGACGTTGTGTCTTGTTTCAGGCCTTTGAAGAGCAAATTAAGACATGGTGTCAGGCTGCTGGCGATGGAGTTGCATACGAATTTCACCAGGTGATGACATAAATGTTTTAATCCGCTCTACACTTTCTTCTCCGGTGCCTTTTATTGTATTTAACACCAGTCTCAGATTCTTAAGGGGTGTGGCAGGGTAAATCCCGAGAGGATGTATCCCCTGCTGGGAGAGTCTATGACCAGAGGGCCTAGCCTCTCAATAAAGAGGCGCCAATTTAAGACTGAGATGAGGAGGAATTTTTTCTCTCAGAGGGATGAGTATCTTTGGAAACTCTTTGCCAAAGAGAGCTGTGGGGCTAGAAGTCGTTGTGTATATTTAAGTTTGGTTCTTTATCAGTCTGGGAATCAAGGGTTTATGGGGAAAGGGCAGGAAAGTAGATGTGAGGAATGTCAGATCAGCCATGATCCTACTGAATAGAGTAGATTCGAGAGGCTGGATGGCCGACTCCTGTTCCTGTTTCATATGGCCTTAAGAGTCCCAGCTCCCAGCAAACCATCAGAACAGAGTTGCTGATGGCCTGAATTTATTATCGTTCCCATGCGGACTCCCCCCTTGTGGTGTCCCTGTGTGGGATCTGGTTCTGTCAGGGGAGGGGGTGGTGGGATCTTGCCTGACGCCTGGAGGCCCCTGTATTTCGCTGGGCCTGGTGCGTCCCCATCAGGTCGTTGGGAGGTCACTGGTAGAGCTTGCTCGTGGAATCGAGAAGCTGGAGACAGAATTCCTGGGCACTCCGTGTGTCTACCGGGGAGAAGGTGGCAAATGAAGTGTTGGCTTTCACAGTGAGAGGATTCGAAACCAGAAGCAGATGTGTCGTGCCGCAATTGTACAGGACCTTGGTGAGACTAATCCTGGGCCACCATGTGCAGCTTTGGTCCCCTTGTCTGAGGAAGGATGTTCTGGCGAAGAAGGGAGGCTCCAAAGGATGCTGGGAGCGCAAGGCTGACGTATGAGAGACTGGTTCAGTTAGGACTGTATTCACCAGACTCAAGAAGAATGAGGGGGAGGATGTCAGAAACTGACAAAATTTGAACGTTACTAGACAGGCTAAGCACAGGAATGATGTTCTCAAAGACTGGGGGTCCAGAACCAGCCCTTGCAGTCAAAGGAAACAGGACTTCGGGACTGTGGTGGGGAGAAATGTAACCCAGAGAGTGCTAAGCCTGTGGAATTCTTGGTGTTTGAGGCCAAACATTGAAAAGATCCAAGACCAATATATTCGTAGTTCTGAGGGTGATGGGATCAAAGGATATGGGAATAAAATGGGAACAGGGGACTGAATTGGATGATCAGCCACTGAATGGCAGAGCAGGCCCAAAGGGCTGAATGGCTTGCTCATGTTGCTATTTGCTATGTTTTAATGTTGGTATGTTTTGCCTTGCAGAAAATCATGGACCAGTCAGTGACGTCTATTGACAAGTCTGACCCCTGGTGGAACGCTTTCAGTAGCACATGCCAGAAACTGTAAGTAAAGATAGATTTGTTCATCAAACTGTAGATCTGTGGTGGGACATTAGTGTACATTGACTGCCGTGTGTTACAGTGGGAGACTGTGCACTGCCGTGTGTTACAGTGAGAGACTGTACACTGCTGTGTGTTAGTGAGAGACTGTACACTGCCGTGTGTTACAGTGGGAGACTGTGCACTGACAGCTGTGTGTTACAGTGAGAGACTGCACTGACAGCTGTGAGTTACAGTGAGAGACTGTGCACTGACTCCTGTGTGTTACAGTGAGAGACTGTGCACTGACGGCTGTGAGTTACAGTGAAAGACTGCACTGACGGCTGTGAGTTACAGTGAAAGACTGTGCGCGGACTCCTGTGCGTTACAGTGGGAGACTGTGCGCGGACTCCTGTGCGTTACAGTGGGAGACTGTGCGCGG